GGCTAAAAAAAAAAAAAAAATCCTGGCATTTCCAGTCTGACGATGGCATCAGCGCCCAGTCAAAACGGCAGGAAGGTTTCCACTGAGCACGCGAGAAGATTTCACTTTCAAAGCAGTTAAAGCCAACAAAGAGAAACAAACGCAGCGGAGTTAAGAACATCCCGGGAATGGTCGGTCTATCGAAAGTTGCTAATCAATGGAAAAAGTAGATATAAATCAAACATGAATCTTGCTTGGATGTAAACAAGCCCAAAATCACATGAGCACGAAGCCACTCCAAACAGGAAGTTGCGTGTCAAAGTTCAAACGCTGCAACCAAAAAAAAAAAAAAGAGCGCGCACACACACACACACACACACACACACACACACACACACACACACACACGGAGGCACTTTACTGCCTTTTCCTTTCGTGACACGGCACACGATCCCACCAGAATATACACTGCTTTCCAACTCTGCCATCTACTGTACGAGTAAAAGTAAAGTAGAAAACACAGCCAGGTGGCGATCAAAGCAGCAATGTCGAATGAAATGAATACGCTGATCATTCATACGCGACTAAATAACAGACCGAATGGGGCGGAAAAGATGATGGCACAATTCATGAACGGATCGGCACACTGTTAGCGAATTTCTAACATGGTTTTTGTTTCATACATGTCCCACCGAGCCTGGCTGATTATAAAACCGTCCGCCAACAACAAAATCGCACTTAAGCACACAAATGTTTCGCTTTGTACATCGTTTGTTTGCCACAAGTTTCAGGATACATTCATCTAACCCATCTCTTGATGCGACGAAGATCATCATCCGCTCACGCAAGAAAAGGAAATAAATATGATTTTTTTTTTTTTGTTTTGTTTGTTTTAACACTGAGGCGTGGGCGTGTGACTCAAACGCCCAGTTTGTTGGCGATGGTCATGACTACTTTGAGGATGGGCATGAAGGCAGAGATCTCACTGAAGTTGCTGCTGCTCACCACCAGGGTGTGGACCTCCAGGCCGCGCTGGTAGTGCTGGCTGGCCACGCAGCGGCCGATCTCGTGCAGGCCATTCAGTATGTTGGGCGAGAGCTGAGGAGAGGGCGCCGATGCACAAGACAAGCGATGCCGTCCGTTAAGAGCGCAAGAAGATGACTGACGATGACGAAAGTCCCGTTGATGAAATGGGAAATCAAGTGGCGACATGGCCGACGGCGTCAAAAATATCCCGTGGGTTGAAGGTTAAGTGAATATTCTTTCAATGCTTGTCATCATAAAATCAATTTCATTTTAAGATTCACTGTTATTTAGAATCGGGTTGTAGTATGTTAGGATAGGATGAAATCCAAACATGCGCACCAGAGTCTGAGGCTCAGAAAACAGAACTGCCTATGAAATATTGTTTTTGAGAAATATGTCAACATGTGACAAGTTGCTGAAAACATGCAGAGGTATTACCTCACCCTGTGTGTTAGAGGTATTTTCAGTATTGCATTTTTTTTTTTTTTTTGTGTGTTATCAGTGGTTAAAATGTTTGCAAACCTCACTTTTAAATGGATATCTTCATGCATGTTTTTGATTTCTGGTAAACCTTAATGCCACTGCATGATGGTTGCTGCCCCCAAATACAATTCAACGTAAGCATTGCTCCACGAGTGGCAAGATTTCACATTGGTTCTCGGTTAATGCGGGCTTATCACTAATTAGGACAAAGCCAATTTTGTAAAATGATATTAGTGGACAACATGGCATTGAACAATTCCTTACCGACTGCTCCCTCAGCTTGTCATACAGGCATCCCAAACGCTTGGCTGCGTCATCGAGCTTCCTTTTGGTTTGCTGTCAAGTAAGGAATTGAATAAATACAATGGCAGATTGACTTATGGGCTTACGCATTCAAATGACTCAATTAACTTAAGCATTAAATAATTTCCCCCTCCACTGGAATGAATTAACGCCCCCGCCCCCACACACACACACAAAAAAGAAGCACTATTTATTACACTTACACCATAATAAAAGCAAAAGTGTAGTTACTGTACATAGTCGGATTCATGTGGTGGATGTATCCTTTAAGGGGTGTGGTCGACCGAGTGAGTTCTGTCAGGATAATTTTGTGGACTCACCGGGTCTCCTGCTGCGAGCTGGCAGCGCTGCACTAGGCTGTCGAAGGTGGATTTGAGCACCATGTGCTCGGCGGGGATCTCCTTCTGCTCCACCCGCTCTGCCGGGAGCTGCTGGAGGAGCTGAGGGTGGATGCAAACGCAGGATGAGATGGAATCTGCGTGGTTGCTTGTGATATGCTGCAGGGCACTTTGTCAGACACTGACCTGCATGTTGGGCTCCTGGGGGGCTCCCGGGGGCACCTGGGTGTTGTTATGCTGCTGAGGGGCCTCCACTGGGAAACCCATCACAGGTGCGGTGATGGGGGCGGGTGGAGTGTAGTTATCAGGAACCTGTTTCACACATGTAACTATTAAACCTGTAATGTCCATCTGGAATTTTTCGTCTGTGTGTTAGTGGTGTAAAAGTTAACACTGGACAGCCCCCCCGACATGGGTTTATACATTTATGGGATTTCTGTGCAAAACGAGGCTTTTGAGACAAACTAAGTGTACCTTCTTCTTTCTGGGTCCACTTCGTACCGCTGGTGGATCATTCCAGCCTTCTTGGGACACTAAACCAGAGACAACAATGAAAATTTGTATGTTGAGCGAAAGAATAATTTGTTAAATACAGTGAAAAAAAATTACAAGCAATAAAGAAACAATTAAGCTGGCAAGATCTGTTTGTCCAAATGCTTGATAATCACCCAAGAGCAATCAAGCAGATGCTTTAGAATGTTTGAATTCACACAATAAGGTCGCATTGTTGCAATATTCCAGCAGCAAAAGCAAGAGGCAGCAAACATACGATACGTGTCCAGAAAAATAGAGCTTTCATTTCAATGCCAAAGTCAAGAAAAATAAGTTAATTATAGCAAATTGTCAGATGTGTTTCTATTTTTCTGGCTTTCATTGAACTCTTATTGCTAACACTGTCACCTTGAGGGTCAGACTGGGTATTCAGCCAAGGAAAGAATCCTGCAAGTCACATGAGGAGGACAGCTGAGTGTAACGTAACCATCTCTAATGATGCGCACATGATGCCAGAAGATGTGAGAGAAGAGAAAGACGGAAGCTAAAGAGAGAGAAAGAGAGTTGGCGCCAACCTGCGGGAGGAGGAGCAACAGCTGAAGCCGCAAAGGGCTTTGCAGCAGGAGCTCCTGGGCCCCCTTGTGGATAACCTGATCCAAGCGGGGCATAGGGGCCAGTTGCCATGGGGAGCCGAGGCCCCTGACTGTGGAGCCCTCCAGGGTATATGGGGACGGGGGCTCCGGGCTGGGAGCTAGATGGCATGGGGCCTGATGACAAGGAGGTAGATGGCATGAAGCTCGTCGGTGGAATACCGGGGCTGGGCATTGGGGGGAGGCCCCCTTGGGCCGACGACGAGTGTTGCAGCGGAGGTCCTGACAAGTTAGCGGCTGGCATAGTGGGGCCTGGAGGAGAGAAGGCTGAGGGTCCACTCATGGGGGATGGCTGGAATGGCTGATGAGGAACAAAACCTTGAAGACACAAATGAATTCAAACATATCAAATTCAAGATGTGACAGACGAATTAACCTCTGGCCATACCTGGAGTTGGATGCTGCGGGTACGGAGGCCTCATGGTTGGGGGCGGCAGCCCATGAGATGAAGGGGGCAAGCCTGGGCCAGAACTACTAGGAGCAACTTGAGGCTGAAATAGAGCTGATGTCGGCATGGGAGGCTGCCGCTGCTGGTGCTGGTGATGAGCGGCAGGAGGGGCCTGGTACTGATCCTTAGTTTGAGAAAGAGAACAATACGTAATGTAGTGCCGTCTACCCTGAAGAGGCATATGTTGCGGGGAAGCAGATGATGAAGTGTGACACAGTGATGGAGCAAATCCATACCATGATTTGTGCTTTCTGTGTAGGAGTGTGAGATGCAGCAATGGGCTTGGCTGTGCTTGGAGGCTGCTGTGGGCTGGCAGCCTCTCCCTGAGCATGGAACAGTCTGTTTCTCAGCATGGTGAGTCCAGGCTGAGGAGACAAGACACACACTCAAATCAGAAACCAAGTCGATTTTTACTTGGTGAGGGAACGAGGACAAAACCTCACTTGATTGGAATTGTCAGGCAGGTAGGCCATGGCAGTGGCCAGGCTGCCCTCTGCAGCCAGGATGCCGGCGTAGCACGTCAGCTTCTCTGCCAAGACGGGGCTCTGCACCGCCACCTCGCTGTTGCGGAGGCGTTCGATGGACTTGCGCAGCATCATGACTTTCTCCACCAGATCCTGAGAAAAATAGGACAAAATGGGAATTGTAATGTTTTATTTGAGATGCTAACAAAGTATTGACTAGATATACTGATAATATTTTAAATGAATCAATGAACTAAAAATTGTTTCCAGAGTTTGAATGACAAAAAGCATTTTTTTCCCCTTCTACATCCATTCAGAGCCTTGAACAAACTTTTTTTTTCTTTACCTCCAGGCCGAGAGGAGATGAGCAGTCCCTGTGCAAGGCCCAACACTCCACAAGTCTCTCAATGTTTCCGGAGCAGATGTAACACAAGCACGCCTGCAGGCAGCGTTTCTCCAGCCCTCCTCGCTCCAAGCGGCCTCCCAGGATATCTAGCCCAACATACAGTATTACGCAACGTCTCGAACGCAAGACGCTCTTCTTGTGAAAGTTGCGTAATCTTACCGCACAGCTGGGCAAATTCTTCGGGGTGAGCGTAGGTAAGGAGAGCGGCGAGCGCCTCCTTCCAGTTGTCCAGCTCACAGCTTTGCACGATGTCTCTCCAGTTCTGCGTCACCACTGACGAAATAAGCTACAGAAAAATAATACTTTCATTAAAACTTGCCCCTCTTCTTTTTTTTTTTTTTTTGCGTGTTTAGACGAAATGTGGTTTCTGCCCTGATTTCATTTCATGTCTCCCAACCTTGGAGCAGAGACACATTTTACCGAAGAAAAATCTGACAATGCCTCACCATGGAGATGCTGTTCTTCTGCTTGCTCAGGTACTTCTGCTGCGTCTTCTTGAGCAGCTCCTCCCCACCACTGATGGACAGCAGGATGGCTTCGGCGTAGCGGCCGTCGCTCAAGCACAAATCCACTGCGCCCTCAAAGTTACCCACCAGCAGTGCCTGGCTTATCAAACCGTCTGTATCTAATGAAGAACGTTCCTCGTCAGCCACGCGGCGCTCAATTGCTGCGGTCAAAAGATTTGCTTGGGCTTACCGCATGAAACGGGGATCTGAAAGTTAGGGATTTCGTTCCTATTCTGGCTGAAAAAGTCAGCGGGTGAAACGGAGCCTGATGTCCTGACTTCGCCATCGGCTTCTTCAGACCGCTGAGGACAAAACAGGAATGGCGAAAACATAAGAAGGGAGTTTTATTACTCTATTCTATAACTCTGTGGTTCAAGTCCAAAGAATTATTCTGAATTTTTGGAGGTTCCATTGAATGGGTTACAGACCTCGGTGGAGAGCTGCAGCATCTTTTTAGCCAGGTCCTCAGCATCCACGGCGTGTCCATTGGGCTGAAAAGTCTTCCCCAAGCATTTAGAAATCTGTTGGGATATAAAAGTAGTATGCATTCTTATCAACTGTGTTGTGGTATTATGTGGTTTAAATACTGGCCTCCATCATTGCAGGGTGTTGTTTTTGGAATTTGGAGGCTTTTTAAAAATAGAATCCCAGTTTGGAATAAGGCAGGACAAAAACTCTGAATACTTTCCATGCACTGTATACGGGGGCATGTCTCATAATACCTTTTTCTCCAGTTCATCTTTGCTGAAACCCAAAAGCCGCAGAAATTTGATGCGTGCCTCATCTTCAAAATTCACCTGTCAAAACACGCCCACACGCAAATGAGTAAAGTAGCTTCAAAAAAGTAACATATGAGTGATGTCTCCACATAGTGAGAACATGCACGCCCTACCAGAAGGAACTTCCATATGTCCTGCTCAGCCTCTGACTTAGCGCTCTGGATCTTGGCCTGGCAGTAGCTGTTGAAGGAACCAGACTGCAGTGCCACCTGCAGCTCCCTGGAGCGCTGCAGGAACTCAGTCTCCGTGGTGACCTGGCTGACAAACACCTGCATGGGGACGGGCTGGGGGCTCTGCACGGGGGCCATCTTGGGATTCTCAAACGTGATCAGCTTGCCGCCAAACTGATGTGAAACAAACCATGACTCAGGAGCGACAATGACACGCAACTTTCCACTCGGGGAGCTTTTCCACTTACGGCAAAGGAAGCTCCCACTGGCCTGCGCACCCACTTGGGTGGCTTCTTCAGAGGGGGAACTATGGTGTCCTGCACTGTAGGCTGAGGAACCTGCAGGGGAGGGAGCACCTGCCCTGTACCGAAGGGATCCATTGTATCAAATGAGGATGATATCTGGGAAAGAGGAAAAAAATGATAAAAGGAGGGATACTATGCTATTCTTCCCCACAATTTCTTGACGTTTAAGATAATATAGAAAGGCACACTTTCTGGGATGGAGCCTTCTACCTTATCAGCAGTACTTTGCTGCTGAGCCTTTAAGCTTCCACCCATCACGGAGTAAACTGTGATTTTGCCATCAAACGAGGCCGCCGAGAGCAGAGCAGGATTCCTGGGACACCACTGGACGTCGAAACACCACTGGTTTGTCGTGGGAAGCTCGTAGATGACCTATCAAAAAAATAAAAAATAAAAATAACAATAATTCCATTTGTCCTAATTAACAAGGCAGGAAAATATTGCCATACCTCTGCAGTGTTTGGATTCCAGCAGAGGATGCGGTTGTCCTTGGCGCTGCTCAGCAAGAGCTCAGAGTCAGCCTGACTCCAGGAGACTGACAAAATCCCCCTTTAGGAAGACAATGGCAACAACGCATTTAGTCTTTTGAATAAATAAAACAAATAACTAAATAAATGATCTATTTTAGGCTGACCGCGTGTGATTCTCAAGCACTTTAAGAGGAGACGTGGCAAAGCGGAGGTCCCACATCTGGATGATGGGTAGGCGGTCGTCCTCGGAGGCCAGCACCAACTGAGTGGCCACCTCGGGGTGCCACACCATCCCGGAACAGTGCATCTGGACACGTGACAAATTTTCAATTTTGAAGTGGTTCGCTGCGCCAAGCTTTCAAATCCAAAGGGCCTACAAACCCGGTTGCTGTGGTCGCTGATCTTGATGATGGGCTCATTCTTTCTCAGGTCCCACACGACGGCTTTGCCGCTGGGGTTGGCCGAGGCCAGGATGTGCTGCACTTGCCGGTTCCACGACACCACACTGATGTCCTCCGCAGGCTGGAAAGTGAAGAAGAGGTTACATGGGCATGGGCTACCAGTAAGCAAAGTTTATGTGCAGCATAACGGTAAATGTCGCTTCATTTGGGCTTTGCTTATAACTGGGCTCCATTGACCCTGAGTCAATTAGTAAAATGTGGAAACAGGTGGAGTCAGTAAAAATGAGGACATTCTTTTAAAAAGTTTCAATTCATTTAAATGCTTGCAAAAATGTTTTCACCTGCGCTTTTGCTCCTGGTGTCATCGGACTGCTGAAGTTGTTGAGATCCCAAATATATATCTCGGAATCATTCGCTCCAGATGCAAGGAGATTGCTCTGTGGGATAACAGAAGGAACATTATGTTCATAGAGTAACATCAAAAGACCTTTTTTCGAGACACGCATTGCTGTATTTGGTGGCAAAACACACCTGGAAAGGGTTGAAGTCAAGTGCTCGCACAGGTCCTGTGTGCTTGTCGCACTGTCCCACTATGGCTTCAGCTCCGGAGTTCACAATCGCCTCTGGGTTATAAACTGTTAGTGTGCCATTCTCGCTGCCTGCGACCAGTCTCCCTCCCGTGGCATCCTCACCCATCCCAAAGTTAACCCACACCAGACTGTGTAATCTGTGGAGAGTTGTACAGTAACACATATTTTAATTTAGAACATATTCCCCCAGAAATAAAAGTTTCCTGTTATTACAGTTCACCTGTTGGTGGTGCACAGTGACCCTCTCAGTTTCATGTCTAAAGAGGGGTCAGCAAAATCCAGTTCAAATATCTCTAGAGCCGCCGTTGTGTTGAACGAGGCGTCAAGCTGCTGCGCCGACGTGCCTGTTGAAGAGAAATCACAGCGTGCCCAGTTAACAAGCACAATACAGACAATGCAGTCGCTTATTCTTAAAGACTGTGTTCAAGTACCTAATGCCAAGCAGATAGGATGGTGTCCGGCTGGACTCCATGCCTGCTGGGCGGTCCTCTGGATCTCCTTCAGCCTCATCTTCCTTTACCTTTAAACACACTGCAGAAATATGGGCTTAGTTGTAAATAAATATATATTGCACAGACTGTTCACGTTTAAACAGAGAAAATAAAATACATCATACAGGACATACAGGAAAACAAAAAAAATGATACAAGTGGGTCTTATGCGAATGGCCACTTTTGTGTTGATCAAATAACATGGCCTTATGTGATTTTTAAATGCCATTACGTTAAAACTCCGCATTTATCCGAACACATTATGCTAGTGGCTACTGAACTTTGCCACAATTTCATGATTCATCCGGCTCACGCCTACTCTTGACAGATAGAGGCTAATCCTTGTACATGCGGACAAACTTGCGAGTCATTTTAATAGCCGCAAAAGATGATAAGCAAGCCATAAGTCGTGCTAGTGAGCGCCTTTCAATCAGTGAACAGGAAACGGAGCGCAAAGCCGCCTCGCCGCGCGGCTAATCAAACCCTCGTTTGGGTAAAGTCCGAGTAAATCCAAGCTAGCGGTTAGCATTAGCTTCGCACACGAGTAGTAGCTGAAAAGGGCCGTCATTATCTGAAGCAAGCGACACACATTTCAAAATTAATTGTTAAACCAAATGCACAACGCGGTGGTTACTTTTGCTACGAGCTAGCGACGTCGCCGAATCCATTTTCCCACGCTAAACCTAAGCCGGCTATGCGGCTAACGACAAGCCAAGCTAAGCAGCCAACACCCTTGTTGCTAAATTTCGCACGAAAAATAAGCGACGCGCGCCCCTAAAACTTTAAACACAGCAAACAAAAGACATTGATAATTCATGCGACTATCACCTACAACAGTCTGAATGCCAGCCGGACAGCCCACAAGCACTGAGCGGACGATGGCCGCAGCCGAGCTAATCGTTTAGCCGCCGACGGCCGGAGTACGACCCGAGTGTTGTCGTGTTGTCACTCAGCTACGGTGGCCGAGAGTGGAGCATTTTGTAACCTGCACGTAAAACCGAAACGCAAATATTTTGGCAGCCACATTTACGCTCCTGAAATAAAGTTTCCCCACATTACATTACTATATTCATCATCCCAGTATGACTAACAACGTGTTAAAATAATGACACGACTAATTGTGAAGGCTGGTAGACGTTTTTATTCTTGACAGAAATATATATATACATGGAGAAGAGGATGATATCATTTAGATTTCATAATTCTTGACTTCTTCCAGCTCTTTATTAGGATCTCCCCCTTTCTCCAAGTACAGGTTGTTGTAGGGATACTGTTTGGGTGCCTGGAATGGTGAGAAATAGATACATAATTAAATATACTTAAAATGCCAGAAATTAGGTTACACTGTTAGTCTAATAGTATAATTGCCAAAAGCATTTTTAGACTTTTCAGAAAACAAGCCAAACAACAATTTGAATAAATAATAGTCCTGTTTCTTTGATGGATGCTTTAGGATTCACATCAGAGTGACTCGGATTACTGGAGAGAACACACACACACACGCACGCACGCACGCACACACACACACACACACTTAGTAAAAACTGTGTTTTAGCAAGCAGTTTTTTAAATGGATATGGTGTCAATTAATTTAAAAATGACTTAGGCAATTATGCTGACAATACAGTTATTGTCTAATTGTATGACGATGAAACAACAACAAAAGTAAAATAAAGATACAAAAAAAAATCAAATAAAAGATCTCCAAAAAAGACAAACAATTTACAAGAAAACATTTTAATGCTAAATAATAAAGCTGCAAAATTACAATACACTTATGTTCATGAAGTGCCTCCAAGTGCTTGTGATAAAATTTTGAAACCGAAATTTTTTTTAAGCAGGAATACAATTTTATTACTGTAAAAAAGTGACTATTTTCAAAAATTTTCTTTGCCGTTATATCCTTTCAAAAACATTTATTGTCTAACTGCTGTGGTTTATACTTACAACAGGCTGATAACAAGGGAATTTCTCTCCAAGGTAGAACATGAACAACATGAAGCCAATGAAGCCAAACAGCTGTTTGCACATGCTATTCCAGGACAAAGGAGTGGGAGATGTATCCACGCGGTTCCTGATGTACATGTCAAAATCCCAGTGAATCTAGGAACAAATATATATTTTAAAAATACTGAAAAAAATATGACTGACTGACACAAACAACTTCCTATTGGAGGGACAAAATGTTGTTCATCATCTATTTTGCTTTTTACCGGCTCGCCCCAATTCCTCCTCAGGTCTGGGGGGTCCCATTGATACCAGGGGGCCCTCTCATGCTGGGATCGGTCAGGAAGTTTGGGATAATCACCATAGCTGCAAGAAACAGACCCATGAAAGGTGTCAGAATTTCAAATAAGAAATGCATTGGTGATTGTTGGTTTCCTTTTCCAATTGCAAGTATAGTATAGTAAGTATGCAGTAAAATACTACCATTAAAAATACATTTAACAAATTTAAATTATTATTACAGTCAAGCTTACCCCTCTCCTTTGTCTGGATAGGGCTCATAGTCCTCAACCCTCATGTTGTACTTCTTTGCTGCCGCAGCTCTCTCTTCTGGAGTCTTGGGGTACGCGCCAGGAAGATCAGCCTTTGAGGTACCAGATGCTGAAGAAATAAAAATAAAATGCATTGCACATACGAGCAAACGATTGAAGACACACTAACGGTAACAGCAAGTGCCATTCCTCACCATCAGATGACGCTAAACACTTAGCTCAACCTAAAGTTAGCATGTCAAGGTTACGTTAATTTGGGTCTCCAAACAGAGCACACAACGCGTTTATTTGAAAACGCTCATCAAATACACATGACTTTATCCACCAGCTAAACTCACCTGCCCTAGCTCCAGAAAAAAGAGCTGAAATTCCGGACCCTTGCCCCTTTGAAAGAGCTCGAGCCCACCGTCGGAAGCCAACGACGGCCATGTTTATTGTTCAATGCAGACTGCCATGGAAGAAAATGCGCATGCGTGAGCCTGAAGTACGGGTGTCCATGAGAAACAAAATTAAATGGACGACAAAGTTTAATGTGAGTTTTTAAAAATGTATATTAATTTAAGAGATTTGAGACTCACTGTAATTTTTCGCGTATTTCAGTGTCATATGGGTTCACATCGTTGTTTGATATTGATTTGTTATATACATATACTGTATGTATGTATGTATGTATGTATGTATGTATGTATGCATGTATGTATGTATGTATGTATGTATGTATGTATGTATGTATGTATGTATGTATGTATGTATGTATGTATGCAGTACATATATGGTTAGCCTGTTTTAACCATTTCAGTTAAATATATCAAACTTCCAACATGAATAATTGGGATCCATTAGGATCAATTGTCTTGCTATATTTGCTGAGTAATACTGAAAGAAAGCATCACTTTTCATTGATTCATCCATATTTAATAGCATTAATTGTATTGGTGGCGGAGAGGAATTTGCTCTCAGAGTGAATGCACTGTTGCTCCGAGTTCTGTTCCTCTTCCTCATCAGGTCCAGCTCAGGGGCACATGTGCTTTTACCGAGGGACCATCACACTGCCACCACTGATCAACTGACAAGAGTCGGTTACAGAAGTTCGACGATGTCCTTCTCAACTTTGTCAATGGGGCAGTGAAGTTCATACCTGCGGAAAAGTGAAAGCATTGTTGTGAAAATTGTATGCCTAATACATAGCCTATTAAAAAATATATATTTATATTGGACCAAAAAAGTCATTTGGGGCCTCGACCTAAAGTTTCAGAAATTAAGATGGTTGACAACTTTACCTGCTGAAGGGTCTGCCATCTGCAGTGATTAGAAACTTTTCAAAATTCCATCGGATATCATTGACTGTGATTGGTGACCAGTAGAACTTCTTTATGTCGCCAATGACAGGATTTACAAAGGTCAACGATTCCTGTGAGATGACATGACAAATGAGAAAAGCTGCCATTTTACAATAAATTTATTCATATACCTTCAAGTAAGTGAACAGCGGCTCCTCATTGACTCCATTCACCTCTACCTTACCAAAGACGGGAAACTTGGGCACAAATCCCCCTCCGGGTCTCACGTACTTAAGGATGTTTAAGGTTTCATTATTCACCTCTAAAAAGAAAAAAAAACACAAATAAAAGAGAGATGTGCTAGTGAGGAGGACATTATAAGGGCTAAAAGGCACCCTGATCATAACTGATACAAAAGGATCCAATAGAATGAGTCAACTTACCAGGGGACTGAAGGCCAAACTGGTTGCACGAGAAGGCCAGCACGGTGAAATTGAGGTCACCGAACATTTCCATGAGTGCATTCAGTCGATGGTACTAAAGAACAAAGTTGAACAGAAGAGAATAGTACACATAAAACATTTTAAGGAAATGTGTCACCAAAAAAAATCATGGACAAAGGTTTTGAAATTAGGTTTTCTATCGAGGTCATCGCCTCTGATAGTGCGGCTCACCACGAGTAAAAACAGAAATGTCCCTATGATAGCCAAATGGTGCTGGGAAGATTGGTGCAGAATTTACCTCCTCTATAGTTGACCCTCAGAAGGTGGCCACGTTGACGACAAGAAGCACCTTACCGCGGAAGTCGCCCAGCGGCACCGTCACTCCGTCCAGGGTCTCAGCAGAGAAATCATAGATCGATTTATTTGCCATGTTCCTATTTTAGCTAATGCAAACGTTTCGCTCGCACACACCGGCCCAAGAGTGAGCCGTTCGCTGTGGCACTCTATCCTTGCCATTCACTGAAACAAACACGGGTCAGCAATTGTTCGGCGTGACTGAATGCATTGTTGTTGTGGGCAGAGGTGAGCAAGTCAGACATTGGTCATTTGTTCAGGAATAGGACGCTAACATCTGCAAACCATATCAAAAGAAATGGAGACTCCATTGGAGAATTAAAATCCATTCTACTCACACAGCTAATGGATATTGTGACAGCGAGTTCAAAATAACCTATTCAATTTTCCTAATTTGTTAATAATATTAAAAACATCTTACGGGAACAACCAACCTCTTGGCCTACCCTCATTGATGTACTGTGATGTCACCAGCACAACATGGAAAGCTGTTGCTTATTGGCATGAGAATGCAAAAGCTAAGTTCCATCTAGAATGATAAATAACAACCATGTCTTTGTGCATGCATAGTTCACTGTCTGTTACTGTATGTTGTACGATTATAGTTTTCTGTTGCAATGAGCCTTTGTAACCACATCACGGCGCTGCTGCATTGTAATCTTCGTTGAACCCACTAATCAGGGTTGACCCAAACTCTTCTGTGACCACCAAGGATAATTTAATTCAGCACGTCACCTCTGCACGACAAACTACTGAAACAAGAGTTATTTATCAGTGCTAGACAGAACTTTGAAATTAATTGCGCTGACATGGCAGAATGCTGAGAATGAAGAATGCAGATTCTTGACTCTAAATTCTAGAGTTCCTCAAAAACTAACATGCATGTATTTGGAATGTGAAACCGGAGTACCTGGAAAACAACCGATGCAAACATGGAGGAATACACATAAAATTTCACACAGGAGCTGAGGCTCGAACCTAGGACCTTTAATCTATAAAGCAGTTGTGGCAACCACTTACTCACCTTATTGTCCCCTTAAAAAAAAAAAAAAAACTGAATTACTAAATGGGGCGGCCTGGTCAGATTCACTCAAACATACTAGATAGGTCAGCTTCCCCCCCACCCCCCTCTCTCCCTCTCTCTCTGCCCAAGTGTCATCTCTTAAGTGTACAACGTCACCACACATCACACCTCCAGCCCTTCCCCACCTCTTCTCCCCTTTCTCTTGCCACAGGGTGTGCTTTGTGATGGCAGCATTTACAGTGACATATTGCCACTGCCTCTCTTGCTGTCTCCCTCGATTTCTCAAGAAAAATATTGCATGAGGCCTTCGGGCGAGGCCCACTAAACCTCATTTTGTGTGCGTGTGTGTGTGTGCGTGTGCGTGTGTGTGTGTGTGTGTAGGAAGAGCAGAGGGGACGAACACAATCAGCAAACAATGCTTCTTGGCCGCTTGTCTTGGCTTGACGTTTTTACGCGTCCATTAAGTAAATTGTTATGCTTCATGTGTTGCCTCGCGCGTCAGTGCAACATCTGTGTGTAAAGGGCTTCTTCTCATAACAAGAGATTTCCTGTTTTGATGAAAGCGTGGCGCCAAGAACATCCAGCTTATGTATGATATGGCTCCAACTCGAAGGAACACACAGTTGAATTATCATGGACGGATGGACAAATTGAGTTCTGATTTATCTTTTTCCAATCGTTTGAGGAAGGAAAGGGAAATAGTTGGACACCCAAAAGTTGGACAAACTTGCCAAATCTTGTGTGCGGTCAGCAATCAGCTCAGTGAGTTTGGAGAGCGGGGGGTTTTCCAACTTTCTACACCAAACACCACCTCACAAGAATACTTAGCCCTTAGTAGCATAGTAGGCCAAAGCGTTCATGAAATACGGGCCACGTTTTATTCCTAAAAAGTACATTTTAAATACTTTTGTGATATTATCCGCTGTTTGAACATCAACACTTCATGCACTTCAATATAGGAAAATAAAAAATGCACTTAAATAATGATTCAACTAGAAATCTTTTTTGCATAAAATATGAATAAAATGAAAGTATGCCCTCTTGATGAGGATCTTGTGTTATTCCTCCACTGTCACATGCGTCTTTCTCAAGTTGGATCATTGACTACTTTCTTTGCAAATGTGACTATCTTTACAGGAGATTTGAGCAGTCACGCATCCAAAGTCGTTTAAATACACTCCAAAGAAGCTTAGGATTCTTAAACGTTCTTCCCACAAGTAAACACACACACACATGCGCCCACACACTCCCGTATTCACACACACCTCCTGCTGTTCCCTGGGTGAATCATATATGCAGATTGGCAAAGCTTTGAAGTGCACGAAATAGAATAGGAGATGTGTGTTATATAAACAGGAGGAGGAGGATTAGCGTCAAAACTTCATCCTCGTCTCGTCTGCCACTCTACCTTTTCCCACTCCTCAAAAAAGTGCACTTTACTTACACCCTTTTTCATGATGCTCATTTTTGCATGTGCAACACTTGGGTCGTTTTTCCCCCCTCTTTTGCCCCTGGAGCCTGCCTCAAAAAAGTATATGTAGGTCATGTGTCGTCGCCTTCTTTCATTCCGCCGTGCAGGAGAAGATGGAAGTGATGAAATCCTTCTGGAAGTGTCTCTACCCCACCTCTCTCTCTCTCTCTCTCTCTCTCTCTCTCTCTCTCTCTCTCTCTCTCTCTCTCTCTCTCTCTCTCTCTCTCTCTCTCTCTCTCTCGCCTGCACTACTTTTGCTTCCTGCCTGAATGAGACATTAAGAGGCTTTACCTGCCGTCCCAAGAAGACACTAAACATCTTCCTTTCTGCTCATACATTCTGTGCAGCGATGCAATGAGGAACCTGCCTCATTGCTGGCTTTTGCTGCCTCATTCGCTGGGTCCAAACTAATCAGGCTGCTTGCTTGGTTAGAGAGAGAGAGAGAGAAAGAGAGAGAGACAGAGAGATTATTTTTGGTCAGTGCGCACTGTTTTTTAGTCTTTGTAAAATGTTTTGGTGTTTCAAATTTTTTTTTGGCATGTGTGAGATTATTAGCTATGTGTGAGAGTTTTTTTAGGGTGAGTGTGAGAGTTTTAGCGAGCGTTATTCTTAAAACTTGAATATGCAGCGTGGCCTAAACACTCCTGAGGAAGCGCATAGGACTAAAGGAGTGAACTGAATTTGCATTCCGAATTTTAAATAAAAATTTTGACTTGTTCAAATCCCCCAAGGGAAAATTTAAGAATTGAATGATCAATAATATTAGCCGAAATAGAGGGGCGCAAAATCCAATTTTGCTTCATGCCTTTTTTTGCATGATTAACCCTGGAATGATGAATTCACTTGACATTCTTCTCTATTGGGGGGATAGTTGCGGGTGATAGGATGGATTATTATGGGATGCCGTATTGAGGGGTAAATAGAAGGGAAGTTGGTGCTCCCTTGCGTTGGGTGTCCTTGTGATATCTACAGTACACTGGGTGTGGGGTGGGTATGAGTGTGTTTGTGTGTAGAGTGCTGTGTTATGCACGGCTGACCACTAACACGATGTGACAGGGCAGAAATACCAGTACGGGGCACACTCGCCCACCCACTGTCTCTCTCTCTCTCTCTCACACACACACACACACACACACACACACACACACACACACACACACACACACACACACACACACACTATCCCCCCCTCTGTTGCGCTGCGGCCTCACCCGATTGGCTGTCTACTTCCGTCACTCCACATCTTCTGCTCGGAGACAGAACACTCCATATTCCCCCACCTCCTTCCTCTCCCCCCACACACCATACCCCCATTTTCTCTTCTCGCGTGGGGTACTAACGTGCACCCGAGAGTGACGTGGTAAGAAGTGGGACGCATTATGCAACATCCTGTTATGCAAGATTTTTTTTTTCCTTCATATCTTCATCCACCCAGCCTCTTGAGACTTCTTCTTTGCTTCCCCTCTTCCCCCCTTCCTTTCTGCTACAGTCAGTTGACATTTGGGGGCAGTCCCTGGTTCATCTTTGACCTCTGTATCTTTACAGTGCTAGCTGATTCTCAGATGAGAGGAGGGGGATTTTTAAACCATCTATCTTCTTTCTGTATTTAATATATTCACAGCAGAGAATGAGAGTTAAGTTTTTAAGCTGGCGGCGAGACTATCTGGTCAAAGCTGAGTGATGGTGCAACACTGTGGCTCATATTGCCATCTCTTATTAAGAAGCTTTGGCGATAAAAAAAAAGGTTTACTTTTATTACTTGCAGCCTCTTGTAGATTTTCCTATGCAAGAAGCCATATTGTTATTGCACTGCACAGTGGGATGAAAAACAGTCCATTCTCATGCAGTTGCATCAGTATGCGGTATTGTTGCATTTCGACCACATTACGATGAAATGTATCTCAGAAATTGTGCAAAAGTACACTGCAAAAAGAGTTGGGTCAAAAATAACCCAATTATGGGACAAAAAAGGAACAACTCCATTTGGGCCAATTGACCAATTAGCTAATTAATAGTTCTCTGATAGCGTTTCAACAAATAAAATGGGTCAAAAAAATGAACCAAACCACTGCTTGGGTCAATTTGACCCAATTGTCTGACAAAACAACCCAGACAATTGCATAACACAAAGTTGTCTTGTAGAACACAACACAAAGTTGTGTCTAATTGAACAAAGTAGCAGGCCGGTTTAATGTTTGTTAATGTTTGTTTTTTTGGATCAGCAGTTTCGTATCGCTGTATCGCTTTTACTGGCACTAAGCAAACTTTGAGGATGATAGTTAGCAACATGTCACACAAAAACTACAAATGTGCCGACTTCTTTACGGCATACGTCACTTCTCCTTTAACCATTCGTTGCAAAGCCGTAAATCGATTCGAACATTTACACGTGATTACTGCTGTCATGGCAGCAATAATCGGTCTGAGGACCCATACATTTTTAAAAAAGAAAATAAATAAATAAATAAAGGAGAAAGAAAAAGTTAGGCCACACGGATAATAGGACAGTCAAGGATCAACAGTGACTCGGTTGTCACTCTCTGGCGTGAACTCAACGACAACGAGGGATTTCCGACCGAGTGAGGAGATTTCGATGCTAAATCAAAATAATAATGTTTTCGGAAATTTACGTGGTAACAATAAATAGTCATCAATTTGATAGCCTTTAGTAATTCAAAAATGACAGTGAAATCACAGACTGGCTTAGAATAGTTTTAATAATAAATGTAAGGTCTGTGTTATCCCCCATATGGAATGCCATTAGTGGAATTTTAACAGTAGAGGAAACTTTACAATGTGAAGAAATGACAGGTCGTGCTTTCCCTGAGAGACTGAACTGGAAATTCGTTCAAATTGTACTGTGTTGATATTCAAGCAACACGAGACCTTCCTGCCGGGATCTACACGTGTGCCTACTGTGAAATTATCCAAGGTAACGTTTTATTCATCAGTTTCAAGGCTCTAAACTCGTCAGCTCGTCAGTTTAGAGCGGCACAAAACCAAAGTGAAACACTGATGTATGGTATTCTTTGGACACAATTAGATTCATTACTTCATAGCTTTTAAGCCTCCACACGGCCATTGTTAACGGAATTGTAATTCAGTCCAAACGCAAAGGGCCGACAGATCAAGATTTCACGACGCGACACGCTGGTCCTCATGCGAAATGTGGTTTTCCTTCAGGCAAAACGCTCCCGGTTTTGTCCGTAGGAGGGCGCCATAATCAACCAAAACTGAAAGTTGCTTTCAGGCTGCACTAGTGTGTGACACGGCACTATTACAGTACTAGGACAAAAGTTGCACTAGTAGTGTAAAAAGCATTACTAGTAAGACGCAGTCATTCTGCTCGTGTACTAAATTGCCTGATTAGTGAGGACAGAGTGGAAAAGTTTATGGATATCACGAATATCGATGAAATGTTTGAAAAGTTTCTTTAAGAAATGGCTATGACAGTAGCATATTATAAGAAAGTATTACTTGATGGCTTCAATTGAATGCAGCTGGTCTACTTAAATGTAGTGAACTTATTTTGTGCCATCGCTGAGTCTACAAGGGAAGAGACATCATCAGTCTGCGCACTTCCAATTTTGACCTTTTACACAGACAAATCTATATTTAGACAGAGCACGCTGTCTATATTTTCTCTCTGCATCACTCTACCTCCCCACCTCCTCCTTCCATCATCCTGCCTGTGTTTTTTCCCCCTCCTCAGGGACGTCGTGCGAGCATTGTGGATCACTGAGCTTCAAAGACACAGGATCTAAAACGAATGCACCGTTTTTACTTTTGCTAAAAGCGCAAGGTACCTTGCTCACGGCGCCACTTGTGGAATCTGCTACCGACGTCACGAGTTGGAGCGTTTGTTGCGACATGACATGGAGTTTATGTAAAATGCTCAAACCAAACAGAGTATGACTAGTCTGGCCCCTTCCATCTCTAATAGTGTGCATTTCACAGCACTGTGGGCCCTGGAGGCATCCATCTTGGATCTTCTCCAGTCCAGTGGTTGCGTGGGTGGATGGGACTGTACTGTATTTTGGCCGCGTTCCAGTCCAGTGGGCACGGAGCAAGCTTCAGAGACGCATGGGATTTCCCTTTTTACACCAACCCCCTCTTCCCTCCATTAACCAATTAGACAGTAGAAAAGCCTAGCTGCTGGATATTTCAAGGAATTGTATGCTGCTTTCAAAATGTAATGTACAATCTAGCAAATAATAAAAGTGGAGTGGCTAATGAGTTGGGCTTTCCTGACCGGCAGAGTGGAACAGTGGAGATGTGAATGAAAAAAAACACAAGAGTCCATCGGGGAAACCAAAGAGCCAATTTGTGACAGACTGTTTGAATGGAGTCAGACATTTATTTTGTGAACTGTACACTTTCAGGTTGATGGGCCCTCCCTTCACTCAAACAGGTAAATTCACTTTTGAAACATTTCTATGAAACACTCAAAGGCAAGGTCATTCTTTGTTAAAAGCATTAGTGAGGAATACTGTGCTGTGTCCCACATCTATTTTTACCCTGCTATGAATTTTTATCTCACTATATGCCATGATGTATACGATGTAACTGTATCATTCCAAGTAAATATCACCGCCACCGCTGGTATTAGACCCACGTTGAATTATGTTGCTCCAGAGTCAGTCAATTAGAAATGTAAATCACAAGTAGTCATGAAATACCACTCACTCCATTGTGACAAGGAACCAGAGAGGGGGTCGAAGCGGCCCTCCATTGCCTGCATGTGATGGGTATTCACCTGTTTCCGTCGTAAATATTTGTGCAAATTTACTGTCAGCGGATGATGAATGTTATCAATATCACACAGTTTAAAAAAAAATGCTTCCCCATTCTAGAACAGTGCATGTTATCCACCAACAGGGGTCGTCCTTGCACAGTTTGTCCTCACTTGACTGGTGACTCCAAACCAGAGGCAGCATGTGAAGTAGCTGCATGGCTGCCCTACTTGCATCTGTATATAAAGGCAACCTGTATAGAGTAAGTGTTTTTTTTCTTTCCAACCATAGACATTTTTGCATGAAGGACAACCTCATCCTCTTTGTTCGCCTATTCTTTCCGCCCATGTGCGCCCAAGTGTTCTCGTCCTTGCCCCGGCCGTCCTCCTGTAAACGACCCACATCAATTCACTGAGCCTCTGCCCTTTTACAGGGGCTGCCTGAAAAAATATGATGTGACATGTGGGATGAGCAAGACGGAGCGAGAGGAGGAGGCGGACGCCGGGGTTGATGTATTTGCAAAGGACACTTCACCATCGCCAGTCTGACATTGACAGACTTCATCCTGACAAACTGGTGCATACTTGAAGGAGGACATGCCTGACACATATGAGTAAGCGCATTTACATTGTAAGGACAGCATGTGACCTTCGTGGGGGCACACTTCAACGGTGCCTTGCAATACGAGTGAGACAAGTTTGTTTTTGAAATAATATCCATCGACATATTGCTTCACTTGATAACAAACAGCAGTTTGGCAAATAGTTAATGATTCCTCAAAAATGATGTTGAGTGACAGACATGTGTTTTAGAAATAGAATTGTAATCTCGACATACGTTGGGGGACTCAAGAGCCTGTTTACAAACCACCGTGAAGCAAACGCTTCCATATTATCGCCCTCGCTCTCTTTCTTTTGAGTGCTACCAGGATGACTGCGCGCCATATGCATGTCAGCTCTAATAAGTCAGGGCCACACAAGAGGTGTTGAGAAAGGGGAGCGTCATCAGTCAGCGGGCTGACAGAGCATCTCAGACACATCGGAGTGATTTCGGAGTTATCATGCACAATAGAGAGTACAAAATGTGGCCAAAAAAAAAAAGTCTATCCCAGCTGAGTATGAGTGGGAGGCAAGGCGTCGCCAGCAGGCACGGAGCTGATATAGACAAATAACCAATCACAATCTCCTTCCCACCTCGAGACAATTTTGAGTCTGTTTTAATTAACCGAACATGTCCTAGCATGACCTAGCCAATTCCACGGAGGATTGCTCTGAGCCAAGTTCAAATGAAACATTTATGATAGTTATTATTACACCCCGTCCTCAAAATGTCAATATTTTCTTTAAATACAAACAATGAATTAAAATTTAAACAATCTGCAATCCAATCCAGGTTTTTATTTGAACCTTTGGATGGATTTTACTGTCCAAATGTAGTCATGGAGGTGTATATCTATTAAAGTACTGGTCAAAAGTACCAGATTGTTGCCTTGGTGGAGGTCTGCGCTTTTCTGACTGCCGTCTTGGGATTGCAGAGCTCTTGTTCTGCTCTGGTCAGTGATGTGATTTATTACTTGGTCTTGTGTATAAATTCTTGTAAGAACATGTTCTGTTCTTTCTGAAGGGATGAAAGGATGGAATATGGGAACTAATATTCTCGCAGAGGTTTCAGCGATCAAAAGAGAATTGTTGTTGTGCCGCAAACCTTTCAAGACTTGATGCGATTCCCGTTCCCTTTTGATTTTTCTCCCTCCCGTTTGCGCTTCGCGTTCTTCGTCAGTCCTCCTGGACTCTATCTGCGCGGCCCATGTGTTCTCTTGACACCCAACTCCGGAGCATCCTAGACCTGGGTCATGTGACACTGACCTGCTATGTTTTACAAGGCTGCGGCGCTGCACGGGGGCCTCAGAGGAAAGGCAACAGCAGGAAACCAAGCGCAGGGCGTGTGCATGTGACTTTCATGGACATGTTTCAAACCAGAGAGCGTTTAATTGGGGACAGCTTGTTCAGTTGCGGGGGGAAAGGTCTCCATTTGGGAGTGTGCTATACTTAAGGTCAGTTGTGGGTTGAAAATTGTTTTTTTCAATGTGAAGTGGTGCAACAAGGTACACATACTGTACATTACATCCATATTTGAGAAGCTTGAGTAGGCAAATCTTTCAGCAATTAACTGAGGCGTCATTTATTGCGTTGTTGTATTTAGATTCCTTGTCACTTGTCTGCCAATGGGCTTCCTCAGCCACTCGTTCCTCGTCGTCTCGCCAGTTTGCTCGTCTTTAGTCCCCTGCTTTCTTTCTGTCGTCTGTCGCGTTTCCCTGAGTCATGTCTCTCATACGCGGATGTTTATTCACTTATTTGAAGGCAGTGTCACATGAATAGTACTGGCAAGTTCAGCAAAACTGTAAAACTGCACACCTCTATAGCTCTGGATTAAATCTGAAAATGCATACTGTTGAACCTCTGAAGTCAAAGGCCCAAGAGAAGATACAATTATGAGGTTGGCCGTTCAGCGGGCCTCGTTTACGGCCTAGAAGTGTTTTTCGTAGAACTATTTGCTGTAATTATGACTTTATGGTGAGTCCCACTTCGGTGCCAAAACATTGTTGCCATAGTAACGAAACTAAACTAAGGACCCCCTGTCTAGAATGACCGCAATGGCGAGAGATTGAAGGTCTAAGCAAGCAAATAGTTAAGATTACTCTCCCGGAAATGACTGTGAGCCTCTGAAAAATCCCAAAACGAGTGCATGTGAGCGAGCGGAGTGAGCTGGGTGGGGTCAGGCCACAGTATTTCAAGAGATGGAACTGAGCCATAAAAGGTTCGACTCCAAGAAGCCAGCGAGACGGCGTTTAAACTTGCCGCCCCGTAGCCTCGTTCGACTTGGATCAAAACCGCTTGGACTTTTTCCACCTGGCTGACGCTAGTTTTTTTCAATGCTCCGATGGCCTTAATCTCCTCTCTCCTCATCTCCCTTTTCCCGCCCTCCCCCTTCTCTTTCCCGCCTCCCTCCCCTGCTCTAAATCTCACACTTCTGCATGAGCCTTCTCCCTTGTTTCCCCTCCTTTCTTTCTCTCTCTCTCTCTCTCTCTCTCTCTCTCTCTCTCTCTCTCTCTCTTTTCATCCCCAAATGAGTTGACCTTCACTGTCGCCTGGCCGTAATTCTGCTCTCGCTCGCTCTCTGGCCGTAATCTACGGCTGGAGACTTGTATCCTGTTGCCCTCCGACGTGCACACGTGCGCAAACACACACACACAGGAGAGATTACACTGCAGAGTCGGTGCATGAAAGATGACCACAGACACACACACACACACACACACACACACACACACACACACACACACACACACACACACAGGGGCGGATTTTAGGCCATTAAAGTAGAGGCCAGTCCAGTCTCAGATCACTGCCTCCCCCCTCTTTGTTCCCCCAAATCAGGAACAGCTGTTCTCCTCCAAAGTTATAAGTCACTCACTCGGTGGAAATTTAAAAAGCCATTAAGCGAGCCCCCACATCTTCCACTCCGCCCCGCTAGTGCGTGGGTGCTGGCTTATCTGCGGCTGCACACGCTGGCGCGTACACGAAAAGTACAACAGGGAACCACTGCGTTTACTAGTTTACGGGAAAGATTGTAATCATGTCTCCCATACCCGGAATACACGTCATTGAGGCGGGAGAGCAAAAGCGGGAGTCGGCCTAAGTTGCATATGTGCAAGTCAGAAGTCTTAAAGTTTCTAGTTACCGTGACAAAAGTCACTCCACAAATACTCCATTCATACAAAAAACTAGAACTAATACTGAGACCAATTAAACGTAAACTAAAACAAATCATTTTTTTCACAATACAAACCCAAAACCGTTATATCCCTCGTCCCCACAAAATTTCGAGCAATTCATAAGTCATTAATCACCTCAAACAATCTCGCTCAGTCAAAAAATATTTGCCCATTAGCCACTCTGGATTCACAATCTCTACTTGGGTTAGTTAGCTGTTTGCCCGTACAATCTTTCTTTCAAAAACAAAAACAAATGCCAACAAAATGTTGTAAATTCAGATTTTTAGTTCTGAACAGGTAAGACATTCAAGTTAAATTCAAGTCGAGTGTTTTTTTTGTCAAGTTTTAGACATGCAAATCCCAAATTGAGATACAAGTTAAAATAAAACATAATTTTCATCGATTAAGATGTAATGGCAATTTCATGCATCGGTATTCGGGTACCCAAATGTAAGTAAGCACGTGTACTCTGTCTCCAAAAAAGTAGTATCTGTGGATTTCAGTCCTAAAATTGATGAAGCAAGTCTGACTCGAGTCAAGTCATGTGACTCGAGTCCCCCACCTTCGCTTCGAAAGGCTGGAAAAGCTTGCTCGCTCGTCCGCTTGGGCTTCAGCAGCCAGAAAAAACAAGGCAGGGGCCAGGCGCACATCAAGCCCATTATAAGCAGCACAGTGGATATTTGCATGCCAAAAGTGAAAATTGGGGCTGTATTTTTTTTTTTTTTTTGAGCCGTCTCCTCCTTCTCTATCTCCTGTGGAGATCTTTCATTTCCTGCAGGCCCCAATGGTGATTTCATAGTGAAGCTCGGGGTTTAAGAGTGGCAGTCTGTGGGAGGGGGAGGGGGGAGGTGGTATGTGGTTGTGAAGTGCGGGGGTATTTGGGTTCAAGCCAACATCAACCTCCACCTCGCTCCACTAGTCTGTTCTGTATGTGTTTTTTTTTTTTTTTAAATGTGTGCATGCTAGCGTGGACTCTTGTTTTCTTACTCTGTCTGCAATCACATTAACCTCAACGCCTGGCAAAGCTGCAGTTAGTCTTCCACAAATGCACTTTGGGCCACAGTTATTCAAAATATATTCACGGTTTACACAATATGTTTTTCCCAGGTGAAAAAAAAACCCTCACCCATTCATGTGCTCAATCTGAAATATGCTACCAAAGCCGTGGCTAAATAGGAAAGTAGTGCAGAAATTGGCGGTCGATGTAATGTCGAGGTGATGCAACTTTTGGACATTGGGGAGGAGCTAGATTTAGCCTGGGTTGTTAGTGGATATTATGGAGAGTCTCTGTAATGTGTAATGTTTTAAAATGACAGAATGGAGAAGACTGACGAGTCGCCAAAACAGCACCCCGGTTTTTCTTCGATGAAAAAGAAAAACATAAGCAAGGGGGAGGGCGAAAATGCAAGTCCCAAGCTTTTGCTCCTATAAGGGAGGGGCACAGTATGGGATTGGAAAAAAAATGATTGCCAGTCAATTACAGGGCAGAGCAAATAACGTCAACATATACAAACATTAAAGGGCTTACAGTAAATGAAGTGCAGTGAGACTTGTTTATTAGCTGTAGTTCCACCAAACATTCCTATTTAAATAATTCTGTGTCTTTTGCGGGGAGCGGTGCTGTAGGGCTAACCCAGTTTTCTTTTTTTTTTATTTAAAAATAAAGTAGAAGTCTTCCAGTGGTAAGTGGTAGTTATTATATGACCTTGTGAAGTGGTGAACCTTTTCAGGGCACTGATGACTCATGCGTCCATGGAGCTGATGTCTTCTTTTTTGGTGTCTGTCCAATATGCTTACCCAAAGAAAAAAAGAGAAGAGTGTCGTGCCCTGATCCCAAT